TTAATTTGATTAATATTTTATTTATTTATAATTTTTAATAATTAATTATTATATTTAAAATATTGATATATAAATTAATATTAATTTATTAAATAGTAAATATTAATTATTATAATTATTAATTATTTTTAATAACTTCATTAATCAAAATAAATAACCTTAATAAAATAATAAATCAATCTAATCACACCAACCGAAGGTAATATTTTATTTTTTTATTCGCCCTTTGAGTGTTGTTTTATTTTAAATTTTTAAGACATCATTTAAGTAACCAAAGGCTATTTTTATCACTAAAAAAATAAAAAGCACCAAAGGCGCGTGCCGTCCAAAATGCTGGTACATAAAAGCAGCAACCGCATAGAAGTCTCCTTATCCCAAGAAATAGAAATATAGACAACAAAACCCAGAAGCCATGGTTAAGCTCGGGACACTGGCGGTGCTTTTTGTTGTCGGCGCCGTGATGAGCCCGACGGAGGCGCAAGATATACCGTCGTGCGCCACAAAGCTGGTGCCCTGTGCCGATTACCTTAACTCCACCACCACACCACCAGCTAGCTGCTGCAACCCCATCAAAGAAGCAGTGGCGAACGAGCTTACCTGTCTTTGTAACCTCTACAAAGATCCTAATTTGCTTAAGGCCTTCAACATCAACATCACCGATGCCCTCCGTCTAACCCGCAACTGCGGTGTCAGCACTGATCTCAGCGTCTGTTCCCGTATGTCATCTAATTAACCATGTCATTAGATAGATTAATGGGATTATTATGCTAGTTTCTATGAAGGGGACAGGGGGACAAAGAGAACTAAGGGAGACGAAGGGAAAATCTAGATTTTGTCTATATTTTTTTTCCCCTTTTTTGGTTTTTGGTTAGGTTGAAAACAGAGGAAATGGAGGATAAATAACTTAATTAGAAAGAAGTTAGTTAATTCTCGTTTTAAATTGTTGAATAATGGGGGGTTTCTTAATCTGTTTTGCTTTTTCATCAATTCATTATCTCAGTAATCTCGTCTGCTATTTTGATGTTGAAATTTGAAAATCTGTTATTAATTATCCTTTGTACTGAATTGATTAACATATGTTAACAGAGTCTCAGTCTCCAACAGCATCTACGGTTCCACCCCCAGGTAATCCAATTTCTGATGTTTATTTTTGTCGTTTTGGTTCATGGGTTTCCTGTTTCTCTTCTCATTTTAATTTGAAGAAATCTTATTGACACGTGAAATGATGCCACTAGGGCCCCTACCACCAAACTGTTTTACTTTTTATGGTTAGGTAAGGTGAATAATTGAACTACAAATGTTGTACAAAATTACACAATATAAATTAATAAATATGATAGATTTTTT